CATTTTTTCATACTTTTTCGCATTCAAATAACAAGCTGCAATATGTACACACTTTGCTGTTTTTTTATCTTTTTTTTAATTTTTTTTCCGGCAATGTTAAGTCTGTACTTATATAAGTTTATCGATATATATATGTCGTTTCATATCATCTATCGCTGATGATAAATACCATGGGTACCAGTCTCTCGCCGGTATCTGTTGTCAGGTCAGGTCACAGTTAGCCGGTTGCAAGCAGCCCGCCATAATCGCACTGGGACGTTTGCCACCTGCAGACCAAGTCACAGAAACTGCGTTAATGGCGTTCCGGAGTCTATTGGAGATGTTTGCATTGGCCCTAGTGTCTCTGTGCATTTTGCTCATGCCCAAATAATCCAAATATCACACTCGAATCAGCGGAAATTACTCTACTCTGTATTATCCAGCAGGTAAGTATATGTCGCTGCGACACGCACGTATATTTGATCTCAAGTAACATTTAACTCGACTTGACTCCAGCACTTTCATGTCGTGACGTGAACATGATGGACTTGAGAACTCGATGCTCGATTGTTCACAATAATTCCGACCCCAAAGCTCATTCACGGAGCCTCATAGTTCAATTCAGAGATCCCAGACAAGCATTGGACGGATTTGTCAATCGTTTTGAACAATTGACTTAATCTGAATTTGACCGTAAACTGTACTGTGAATAAGGAAAGATGACTCGTAACTGATCAAACATGGATTTCAAAATTATATTCTATAAAAAAAAATAGAAATACAATACAAATGTTATTTATATAGAGGATATATATAAGTAGATCTACATATACATACAAACTTTATCAATGATGAAATTGTGACCGCCCTCCATTAATTATAGAACTAGAAGAGAAGTTAATCGGCTGAATGAAAACAGAAAGAAATTTACAAAAAAGTTAAAAAGCTTGAAAAAACAGATGGACACATACCTCATAATAATAACACATGTGTAATTGTAATCATAGCATAATGAGTATAATTATATTTACCTTATTTTATTCGTACAAAACAAGCGATATGGGATTATATATCTCAAACAGATTTACTATGAGTGCATTTTATATTGTAGGACGCAGTAAAATTGTATTTAATTCACATTTCTTACGTCTTGTGTAAAAAAAAAAAGTATACTAGCTTGTAAACATTCGTGCGATAAATACGAAATAGTGAAGTGACGTCGAGAAATCTTACGTGTACCCGTGTACTCGTTCGAAAGTGAACAGACAAATGTGAACGATATTGTCGCGGAAAGGAGAGAGAAAAAGAGAGAGAAAAAAGACAAAACAAAGCGGCAAAAGATCGTAAGCGTGGGAAACAATGCGGAGTACACGCGACGCGAATGAATCTCTTTGCTACGAGCGCGCAGCGTAAGGGAGAGAGAAAGAAAGAGAGAGAGACAGAGAGAGAGAGAGAGAAACGAAAGACCGCGTCTCGTGAGCTACGACACGATAACAATAACAGTAAGTTCGCCCATTCGGAGCGGTCGGGAATAAAATGAAACACACAGGTGGATGCGTCGCGATCGAACGACGCGAAGTGATCGCGCGGACAGACGATCGCCGTTCGGTGCACGGTCGATGCGTACGGATTACGTTTCGCTCGAATCGGCCATCGCCATCTTGTGTCCGACCCGTGTCGGAAGCGGGACTCGGGGACGCCGACCGATTTCGCGGGAAAACGCCACCGCGGGACGCGGCCGGGATTGGCGCGGTTTTCCGGATTGCGAGATACGGTAGGCACCACTGAACCGATTCGATCGCGGCACGCCGATACGGAGCTCACGAAGAGCGGGGAAACACCGAGAGAAATCTTACCTGTCTTCTTGCGAGTCCTGGCCATTCTCCACGGCGTCCCCGCCGCCACCACCGGTGCCACCGCTCTCAGCCTCACCGTTCTTCTCAAAATTTTGCTCCGCAACATCCTCACTGAAGTCCTTGCTTTCTTGCTGATCAGCCATTGTTTCACGCCGCGTTTCGCGCACTCGCCGGGTTAATGATACGAGGGAAAAGATCGGGAAGATAGAAAATAATCACAATCGCACTTATATCGGTGGACGACTGCGGCGAGACGGATTCACGAGAGGGGAACGAAGAAGGGAATGTCTGCGTAGATTTTGAGAACGCCGGACTGTCCTGCCCTCTGCGCGGGAATGCATGCTTTCCGAGACTGGAATTTCGCAACTAAAGCCGGCAACACACGGTGGTTTTTTAGCTGCTGGATTTCTTGCGTGCTCCTATTTTGCCGACTACTATGCTGAAAATTATATAGCTTGCTGGCTATACTACTCTATTGGATTTTTGTAATGGATCTGGTGCTATTTTTCTTGCTAGCTCACTTTGAAAACCAATCAAGACGCAGCTTTCATCATTTCTGATCATCAAAATATTCCCTTCGAATATCAGATATTCTATCATTTTCTGTTTACTACAACTTGTCAAAGTGAAAATAAATATAACGAAAGAAAAATAAATAAATAAATATATTAAATGCCTTTTATAAAATTCTAGCTACTCAGCCAGCACGAAAACTCGCACCGTGTAAAACTAAACTAGCAAGACAGCCAGCATCGCTGTCAGCAGCACTGCCATCATGACAGCAAGCATACAAATCAGCAAGAAACCAGCAAGAAATCTAACAGGCAAAAAAGCACCGTGCACCGTCGGCTTTATTCAAACGAATTTGCATAGCAGCATAATCGTATGCATAAAGAAAATTACTGACCAATCATAATCGATTATTCTCCTATTCATATAGTATGACTCGTCCATTTCTTATGGCTTAAGACTTAAATCACCTATTGTAGATCGGGACTAAGGGCCTATCCAGACAAACTTGCATAACGCTTCGAAGCATTTGTAATGTTGGTCTCGGTCCACAATAAGTATTTAATTTTTAAGGCGAAAGAAATTGACCAATCATAGTCGATCATTTTTCTTATATTCGATTATGATTGTCCAGTTTCTTCTTAAAGCTTAAATCATCTATTGTGGACCTATTGATGGACACTTACATTTGACCGTAGCCGTAGCGTATAATCTGATCAAATCTAATACTGAAAAGTATACCGTCAGATGGCGTTGCAATACGATGGCGAATTCGCCGATAATAGTTTGTTGGCTCCTGGTCAGCATCTGGTCTCGCGCAATGATTAGATTAATTAGATTATATGGTTAGGATCATCTAGTTTGTAAGGGTCGTGTAATTTGTATCAACTTTTTATTATGGCTTCCTTGGTTGCGGATTACGGGACTTCCTCTGGTTCGGATAGCGGAACGGACGACGAAGATATTGTCACGGATAATGCGTAAGTTTAGGCCGTTGTGTAAAACCATCCCTCGATTACTTCTGTCCTGATTTTTCTTTATGTTCATCCATGATTCTACTCCAGTTTAAATCTTCTGCGAAAAATACGATGTTTATAAGCACTTCTGTTTGACATGAGGCTTGCGAAGGCTTATCAAATTCATAAACGCAAATGCAGGATTAAACATGTTGTATTTTTTGTGGTATTAAATTGACAAAGAAAATATATCTCGTCAAATCTCATTTAAGTTTAGCAACCGGTATATACGTACAAAATGCGGCTTGTTCTTTGTAATCTGATATTGCCTCACCATTAGCTTTAAGGGTGCTGAGAAGGTAGAATTGGAGAGAGAAGAAGATGAAGAAGAAGAGGAGGATAATAAAGAGGAGAACAATGGAGAGAATGGCAAACACATGAGAATAATTGAAACAACAGCTTCCAAAGAAAAGCTTCCATTGCCGACACCAGATTTTAACAGCGCACCTACGTTATTAAGAACATCAGTGTTCTTAAATCCATTTGTTGAAGCAGAACGAGCAAAAAGTGCAATTTTAGAGAAGCATGTGAAGATGACACCTACATTGGATGACACAAAGATGATAAATGGTCGTAAGATCTGCTGGAACTATCGAAAGGGTCGCTGCCGTTTTGGTCATAATTGTACTTTCGCTCATGATTCGGATCTGCATCGCAGCGCAACTGAATTAGAGGCTTTACGGACTCCACAAGAGACGTTGGTTTGTCAAACTCGATATAATGGACAGCAGCAGCAGCAGCAGCAACAACAACAACAACAGCAGCAGCAGCAGCAGCAGCAGCAAACACTGCCGGCCGTAAATGATGATGAGAATGAGGTGGATCAGGAAAATAATCAGACAGCGAATAGAAAAAGGAAGAAGAGGCCCGGTCTATGCCAACTGTTGCTTCCGAGCAAAAAGATCTATAAGCGATTTAAAGCGCAACAACAACAACAACAACAGCAACAACAAACCAAAACTAGATGAATAGTATTTCTTTATTTGGTATAGTAGTAAGAGATAAAATTGTCTTCTAGCCAAGTTATTATATATTTTTTGCGAATGAGAAAGTACATGCGCAACGAGCAATTTCATAGACATCGTACTTTCCTATAATAACAGATGATTCTTGCAGAAAATTTTTATCGACCAGATTTAAATTAAAAAAAAACTTTGGAGAAAATTTTAAAAGATAATTATAAATGATTAAAAATAATATGAGAAATGGAAAAGATCATTGCAAGCAATTTTAAAATTGCTAGCAATGCTAGCAATATTTCAATAGATGAAATTTTAATTTTTTATTGGCAAAGTAGAAGTTATTAGCAATGAGATTAACGGAAATCTCGTATCTTATCTAAGATTTAGATTAACTTTTAATTAAATAAATTGCGCAAACAAGGTCGATATAGATATGTAAAGGGAAAAGAAAAAAATTCCGATTTATGCTTCCAATGCGAAACATGCAATAGAATAGGAATTATATTTGAGAAACTTTTGTGTCTCGTATAAGTTTGCAAAAGACTACCTGATGCATGCGCAAAGTAAGCACATGTTGAAACCTTAAGATTTGTCTTTTGTAACGCGATAACGCGTAAGATGTCTTCTCGTTTTTCCATATTTATCATTACTAGCCAATAATTTACTAAACACTTGTAGTATTATTCATTCATGAGAATACCAAATGTTGTTTTATAGTAAAATTCATATACAGAATATTATATATTACAATTGTAACATATAACGCAGATTTGAATTTATATTTTCCTTTCTATTCTGCATTATAAAAAAACGACGCGCGCGCGCGCGCGTGTGTGTGTGTGTGTGTGTGTGTGTACTATCGTTCGTAAGTTCCGACACTCTTAAAAATAAAAAATAAAAATCTTAAATTTCCCAAGCAACATATTAATCCGTGACAGATATTTTTATTTTATAATTAAAGAGAATGAATAGTCAAATTATAATGTTGCCAAAATAAAAAAGATTGCACAAAAAAATGTATTTTGTTTTAGAGTTTTGGACATGAATGATAGTGTACTTATAACAACAATACTTCCATGCGTTTTTGTGAATCTATGATTAATCTAAGCGCCTTACTTGATTGTTTTTTTTTTTATAAATGTTTATTTTACATTTTCATGTAATGCGATCAATGAGACAAATTCGATACTTTAAGTCAGATGTAATTACAATATTTGTAGGCATCGTAGATGAAAAAATTATTTACTAATATACATAAAATACAATAATTTTTTTAAGAAGAAATTATGTTAATAGATCAAAACAAAATAAAAAAATCATTGATAAGTGAAATATTTGACTTTAAGTGGCCGAACAATAATTTACCAACATGTTATTTGTTGGAGAAGAAAATAATGACTATATAATTACGGCAATATAGATCTAAATAAGAGAATCAGAAAAAAAACTAAAATGAAAAACTAAAATGAAATTATCATGACTTGAAAAAGATTTCCTCGGGTTTCCGAGGATTTCTAAAAGGTTGCCAATAAATGATTCAGCTGTGCTGAAACAATGTCTTGCCAATTTGTATTTTCTTTTATACCCAGTAAGTATAAGTATGCACATCAAAACACACAAGACATCTTTGGAGTACGTAATTGTACATTGTGAACTGCATGTTTTTTTACCGATTTATTTCATTATTATATACGTACTAACATAAGATTATTCAAAAATAAATATTTTACAAAATATTTCCAATTTTCTAAAAATATAAGAAAATCGTCACCTAATAGCATCTAAAAATATAAGAAAAAAAATATAAAATCTCCTAAATTAAATCTTTTGACATGAATATCTTATTTTCGTTTATTATAACGAAAAAGATCATATAAATATACACATTTAAAAATTATTCCATTTAGAAAAGGGTGATAATTGTAAATTTTTATATAATTATGATACTTTTATTTAGAAATAAAATTTTGTAACAAAAAAAATTTTTTTTTCTTGAAATCGCGTAATGTTATAAAAATAATTTTTGTATTTTAATTTCGGAAAAATCTGAATAAATTGGTACAATCTATCTATACTTCTGTGTCATAAAACATTAATCAATAAATTTAATTTCGTGCAACACATAGTACTTATAATTTATTTTCTTTGTAGTTAATAAAAAAAAATGCATTTTTTAATCAGAAGTCCTCTCAAATGGAATTTTCCCAAAGATACATGTTGACTATAAAATAAAAGAAGTGACTTAGAAGATAAACTTTTCATCTGAAAGAAGATCTCTTAAAATGTTTGGGAAGGGTTTAGTACACGGTGGAAACATAAGACATGATAGGCACGTGACATTGTTTTATTAGATGCTTATGGATACAATCTGCTTTCTAGATCCATCTACATAAACTGAGTGTGTGTTGATAACTCACTATTGCATTATTGAATGAAAATATAGACTTTCGTGTTTATACACACACACATATATATATATATATATATACTTTTATATATACATATATATTTCTTTTTCTCTTTATTTCCGCGAATGAATGTTTTACAGGCACTTCATCTCTAAACAGTGGCAAAAATTTGTGAATGATCAATTTGGCGTATAGAAAAATGCGAGAGCAAGATGTGTAGGTAAAGCGTCATCGCAGAATTCATCAATAAATTTTAGAGTCACGAGCAAAATATAGAAGATCTCCTTATTCACCTTTTTATCTTCATCGCAATTTCATTTTTTTCTCAGCTATTCTCTTGTCTATCTGTGAGATCTCTCGCCATTATATCAACAACACAGATTACAATCACAGAAATAATAAATCCGACAAAAATAATTGCGCCACATTATGTACAATTAACCTAATTACCTCTATAGCCAAGTACCTATTAAGTACTGATACATTATTAATAATTCATTGTGATTGCAACAACAGACTGTTTTACCATATCTTTGGAGTGAGTTAGCAGATTGCAATTTTTAAAAGGCCTAAAATTAGAAATTCCTATACAGACTAAAGAAATATATACTAATCTCATGAAACTTGTCAATATTCTATAAAAATTAAAAAGACTTTACTTTGCCCGATTATAAAAGAGAGAATTTAATTGTCTCATATTTTTGATTATTTGATTAAAGAAAAGATAATTTTTTTCTCCTGTAAAAATTGAAATCGAAAATCTGAAAAGATTTTAATTTAAAAAAAAAAAAATAAAAAAATTATATATACATACATACATGTACACATATATTTATATATTTAATAATTTACATATATATATATATATATATATATATAAGAACTCTAAAACTAAAAGATGTCACCAATTCGAGTGACAGCGTTAAAAAGTTATACAAATTTCAATTCTTTGCTCTAATTATAATATAAGATTGCGATCAATTAAATTAATTTTTATGTACATATTTTAAAAATTCAGAACTTTCTTTCTTAATAAAATGGAATGGACCGCAAACATATTGTATATCCGCGAGGAACTTGCGCTACAGTTGCAAACGCAAATGAATTCGGGCTTTAAAAATTTTTTTAAATATAATTTAATTTCAATCTTTCTGGCATACGTATGAATTTATACAAATGATTAGAGATCTGATAACTCACTTTGAAATCTGCTTCTCTTATATTAGTACAACGCCTACATATTGCAAAATACTACAATATCGTCGGAAATAAATTTTTAATATTTGTAAATTTTTTTAAGTATGATTAAGTACGATTAAGAAATACTAAACGTAACAGAATTTTAAAAAAAATTGATCCTAAAAGATTTTACGATAGTCCCAAGAGAATTTTCCTTAGGATATGTATCCCGATAATATTACTGTCTCAAAAATGTATCGATATTTTTCTTTCTTTTTAAGATTTGCATTTTCGAAACGCTGATTTTTTTTTAAATACGATACGTGTATTTCTCTATCACAATCGCTCTTTCGAGCTGAAAGTTATTAGACAATACTTGAGGCATACAAAGTAGAGTAAAGTAGAATAAAATAAAGCGAAGTACAAATACTCTTGGTGCATCAATGCACATCGCTCGTTCAATGGAGCTTCATCAAAACTTGCTAAGACCTCGTTTCATCAACATCGTTTAACTTTTATCTGCCTAATATTGATTTAATTTTATAATAACTATATTAATTAAAAGTTATATTTTGATTTAACTCAATTTAATTCGATTTAGATTCGAAAAAATAAAATTCGATTAGATTCGACATTAAAAGTTCTTGATTCATGTATTTTTATTTTTTATTACCATCAGAAATTAGCCTAAATATCATACGAAGGGATAAATGACAACTTTTCCCTCCAAATATTTTCTCTATTTGGAATTTGAAAATTTTTTTAATTGAAAAAATAAAGATAGAAAATAAAAAAAATTAATTATTTAAAAATCTTTTAAATATCGAAGTTTTTTTAAAACTCTAAAAATTTTATTATTGTTAAAAAATTTATATCAGGTCTTGATTTTGATTTAAACTCAATCGATGTTGATGAGATCGGTTATAAAATCCTCCACAAAGATTTCTTAAGTACGACACGCAAGTTCGATTAAAAAATAGATATCTGTGTGAAATTTTAGAAGTCTATCGCACTAGTTGTTTGCTCAATATTAATTATAATCCGCGCCGATACTGACAACGTTAAGTCCCTCTCTTCTCCTCTCTGCTACAGCCGGAATTATTTAGAAACTTAATTGTTCCTTAATTTTCTGCATGTTTCTCCATTAGAATATATTATCAAATCCGTTCTTCTGCGATTCATCTATCTTTAATTCTCGTAAACTTTCATCCGACCTCATAGCTGAATTGCCATTGCAAATTTCTGGCTCTCGGCCATCGCCATTTATATTACATCGTTCGGCAAATGTCGCCTTACCGTTCGTCAAACCATTTTGGGTACTATTGACGTTCTTACTGACGATTATCTGTTGACGACTTGTAATGGAACCCAATGCGCTATTCGTTTTGCAATCAAGTCCATTGCTTTGTATCTCAGTTGTTAGATTCTTTGATATTGGGATGCTCTGGGTCTCTGCCAATTGCATAGCACCTGTAAAATAAAATTCGATCGGTACTCAATCGCGTTCGAATATGCAATTTCTATTATTGTTTATTTTTTATAATCGTCATTACTTAGCGCTTGTTTATGAAATATACATGAATTTCGAATCGAAAAATTTGAAATTATTGAGCTACATCTCTCTATATTTATAAATCTTTCTAACATAGAATATATTAAGTACAAACGTACAAAAAATATATAAAATAAATAATATATAAAATATATAAAATAAATAATAATAATAAGCACAAACATACCAAGAATATATAAAATATTCTTAAGCAATAAAGATATAAATATTCTAATTACAGAATTTAAATATATCGAGTATTGTATACCGTGCAAATTATGACAATATTTGTTGGTGCTATTCCATTCCTCGCGTAAGCTGAGGTTGAACATGCTATAATCTGGATTGCCAGTGACTTCCTTCTCGATTGTCAGGAATTGAGGCAGAATGTTTTCTAGTTCATCACCCGTCAACGCTGTATATGTCTCGAGTAACATCAAACCTCGACATCTGTAATGTACATACAAAATTGCATCATTTAGAATAACGTGACGTGTTTTCCTCTCTCATTTATTGAATAAATACATACAAATAAGAATAAAATAGATAGAAGCGAAAGAATTTATTTTAATTTTTAATATTCTGAATTCTTGAATCAGTTATAAGCGAACAATTTATAAATATTATGACAAGAAACCAATCATAAAAGATATTCATTAAATCTCTTTTTATCAATTGATTTTCTTCGATGATTTAAAATCGATTTTTCCATCAAAAATGGACAAATTTAACAGTAAAAACTTTTAAATTGTTAATTCAAATCATGGATATTAAAGCATTACCTGGGATGTGCTGGTTCCCTGTAAATATCTAACTGAAAATACTGATTGTTGATGAGGAAGCAACGACGGCGCTTAAAAATGGTAAAATGCGAATCGTCCCGCTGAGCCAGCATGTTTAGATAGTCTCGATGCGTCAGTTGGGTCTTCACCTCGATTACTTGACCGCATATCTTCGGTCGACGAATTGTGTGAATGTATGACCAGTGACCTTAAAAAATAGAAAATTTAAATCATACCATTGCTCGAATTTTTGACGTGAGAAAAGAAATGAAATGTAAGGATGATCGATGTGTTATTAATCCATGAAAATCAACAAAAGTTCGAGTTTTCCGATGATAATAATAATAATAATTTACAGAAATTAATTTTAAGTTTTTCAGGTAATAATATTGTTTTAAGTAAGCAAAACAGTTAAAGAAATGAAGGAGACTGTTTCATCACTCGTACGGGTGGTTTACCTTTCTGGCCGCGCTTGCGCAGACGGGCCTGCATCTTGGGATTGTTGCTCTGGAGATAATTATGCACGACATCGAAATCCTGGAAGGGCGGGAACTCGCTGTCTGCCGGCAGCGGTGCTTTCACGAGGAACTTGACCTTGCGACTGCTGGCGCGCAACCGGTCGCCGGTGTCGATGCCCAGTTTCTGACACACGCATTCGATCATCCGGCAGATTTTTGATTCGAAATCTTGCGAGTTATCGATAACATCGAAGTACGGATGACCGACCCAGGAAGCCGCGGCCTTGTAATCGAGTTCACGGGCAAGCTCGACACCCTCAGAGCGACACGCGTGATCTTCCGTGGAGTAGAACTCTTCGGCACCGTTCGCGGCCGAGACCATGTGGATGATCTGGTTATATCTAGTTGGCAAAAGAAAAATACAAATATTTCATTAATGAAAGTGTTAAATGCCAGAATAATCAGCAGTAAAACATAATTTGTACAAGTGTACAAATAAGATAATTAGAGATATAATACAATATTATTGTACAATATAAGTTGTTACTAATTTTTTAATTTTAAAATTAGATTCTTCCAAAGACAAGAATATATGCAAGTGTCGAATTTGCAAAATTTTGCTCGTACATCCCCGACTTTACCTGTTGTCCCTTAATTCGACGTTGTGCCATCCGTTTGAGGCCATCATAAGCTCCCACTTATCTTTCGAAATGACTGAAAAATTTGTTTTATTAATCTTTCTATTATTAAGAGAGATTATTAAGAAAATCCATTGAGTCAATTATTTTCAAAGACTGATACTAACAAGCGGAGGCATCCATCGCCCCGCGATCACAGATAATCAGGCAATTCCTCGAACAGCTCTCACCCAGTTGGAAGAATGTGTTCTCTATTTGTATCATCGTACGCAAAAGATTTTCCTGAAATTTGAATGCTGCAACAAACATGCGAAAGAAAATATGACATTACACAATGAACGTTCTCACTCGTTTTCGAAGTATTATTTCGAGTGGGTAATCCGCATATGAACTTGAGTAATACTTGGACCGCTAGCTTAAACAATCGCTTCGTTTATCTTCATAAGAGAAGAAATACAGTCCTAATAAAGCTCTAAGAAATCCCTATATTAAGAACAATATCTCCTTGGGAACAATACTGTTGGAATTACAGCGAAATCAATTGCTTCCTTTAAACGATGTCTCGTGGACATCGTTTGGACTCTTGTACTAAAGCCTTTTCAAGCGAGATTCTAGCGAGACGGGCGGATGATCCTCGTTCATTTAAGTGAAACGAAAGAAAATGTATTTGTGATTTTGAATCAATTCTTATATTTATCTATTTAATAGATACTTGATTTTGTACGTTATTTTTCTCGTGATTTTAAAAAGCAAGAGATATATCATGGTTTTATTTCGTGATCAACTTCAAGAGATAAAAAGAAGATTATTTTAAGGTAGAGAAGAGCGAGCACGAGGATTCATCTCTCGTCGACGAGAGATCTAGAGTGCCTTGCATTTCAAGGCCGAGACACAATGAAGAGTAAAAATAAACGTGTAAGAAAAGAATAAAATATATAATATTACTCATGTGCGCAAAACGAGACTAAGAGAAGCGATCGACAGGAAGATGCGCCTAAGGGATAAAATAAGCGCCTATATTTACTGGATGATATGAAAAAGCAATATTAATATTATAATTGACTTCAAAAATCAACAAATTAAAAAGACGGAATATTTTCAGTAATTTCATTTTCAGGAATTTTTTTATCAAAATCATCCTGATAAATCCATCACAAATTATCGCAAATTGATTGAAATCTCTTAATCTCTTTTAATTTTGCTTTCATAAGCTTCAGAGATTATTATTTTGCAAACTTTAAAATCTCCTCTACTTTCTACTTTATATTATGATATAATATCTATTCATAATATCTATTTCATATCAATATCAATCAGATACTTGTTATCCTTCATTATTCAAGTCCTAGAAAAGAACTACATTATTTATTAAAAAAAAAGAGTTAAGAAAGATATATCACTACAGACAAAAAAAATATACCGTTCAATATACTAGGCACTTGAAAAAGTAAACTTTACTTCCTTTTAAGCGTCGACATTAGTGGAAAACTAGTGGAAAATAACAATCAATAAAGGATCCAAGTATGTTCAAGGCAATCATCGACCCCTTTATGTTTCTTAGCTTCTTTCATCGTGTCTCGGATCACACTCTAGCTTCATAACTCGGACTCACCCACGCCGGAATCGACTTCTAAGATCTCCGGCCATCTCGCCTCACCCTCGCAGAAGGCCTCACCCTCACGTTTATGTTCTAGACGCGAAGTTTTCGCGTATGAGGGACACGGGCTCTCCGCTAGAACCAATCTTAATCTTGAACCTCTCACATTATCATTGGGATGATTTGAGTTGAGAGGGAAAAAAAAATATTACGCTTCTCGTTTTTTGCATCAAATCGTAATAAAAGCAAACTGAAAAGAACGGAGCTAACAACTAGATGAAAATGTGATTTGAACTTTTGCATGTGCTACAAAGTTTAGAATCTCTCAATTGTTCTCTGTCAGTTTCTTACAATCTTTTTTTTTTCTTTGATAAGATTAAAAAAGTTTTCTCTCCTTGAGAAAATATTAACAATTTAATCTCAAGGATCAAATATCGTCGACAATAAGTAAGGAAATATGCAGTTCACATTACTTGTACTCGTGTTTCATGAACGTCATCATTTTTTATCTTTTTTCTTTTTAACTGGCAGTTACATACCTTTGCGAACAAGAATAGCAGAGTGACAAATAATGATAAGTAAAAGTAATGATAACTCGATGTTAACTTGGTTAATTTCCCGACTTGTCACAAATATCATAAATGCAAAGACGTCAGTCTTTGATTGACGTCAGTTCTTTTGATTAACTATAATTCGCGAAAAATCAAGCAAATTGAAATTTTAAGTCTTTGAAATTCATAAAAATCTTAATTCATCGCGATAAAGTTTCAAATACAAAATGCAAATAAGCATAGAACAACGCTTTATGAACGTTTCAATTTTCTATCGTAAATTTACCGCAATTTGAAAAATCACAAAAATTTTGTGAAAACTGGTGCACGTGTTCGAATCATTTTAAGAATATATTGATAATAATAGCAAAAAATAATCTAAAATTAAAAAGAATATATTTCTTATACTGTTTATAATATTAAATAAATAAACTTAGAAAGAAGAAAAATGTAAAATGCAATTGCGTTCTGCACTTACAAAAAAAGGAACACAATCTACAAAATTTTTATGATTTTGTTAATATTTTAAGATATAATACGTGTAATTAAATTATATATTATTTCACATCCGATCATGAAATATCTACTTCGTAAGAACATTTTTATAATAAAAACTGCATAATAGGAGAGATCTGAAATACATTTGATACATTTGGTGTGCGACGATGATAGTGATGAACGTACACACAAAAGCGGGGAAGGAAGCCTGATATTCGTATTCATTCGTTTCTGTTCAAGGGCGAGCTGATTAAAGTCGAACCATCGCCTTACATAAAGGCGAACGAGTATTTCCAATGAATAGCAATCATATTAACGTAGGAAAATTATTATCTTATCTCGATATTAACAAGGATTTCTCAATCCCTGATGTGTGTGTGTGTGTGTGTGTGTGTGTGTGCGCGCGCGCGCGCGCGTGTGATGTGCGTGTAGTTATATATCTCATTTGTGAAAATGAGATATTTTAATGATTCATTTAAAAAGCACGAGTGTACCAACTGCTTGGCCGTGCGCGTGTGTTTTGCGCAAGTTTTCAAAGTACTCGCGGAGAAAATGTAATGGTGCAAGAGATTAAAAATAGAAGAGGGATCATAAGGTAGACCAATTGACAGCCGTGGCGCGTATAAGCGATGGTAATAATGAAATTTTGCGTAACGATCGCGAACAAAGTCCCCTCGCGATACATCGTAGAACGGAAGGCCAGAAGTTTAGTGTAAGCCAAGAATTTCGACGTTATGCAATCGGGCTGTTGTTGTGCTCGGAGCAGCTTGCGCGAGCCTTTCCGCACATCAAACGTGACATTATAGCCGTTCTGGGTGCAACGAGACGTTTACAAGACCGTTCTATGGCGAGGCTTTCGGGATCCTGACGTATCATAACGCGACATAACAGGTCAAATTGATTTCCTTTATCTTTTTTTCACTGTATCAAGATGCAGAATCTTTTTTCTCAGCCCCCCCCCTCCCCCTCGTCCCCACTTTTCATCTGTAAAGCTTGGGATTTTTCCATCCGCGTTTCTCACGTCGCGATTGCAACAGTTGATGCAATCCGTCGCGTTACTGAGGTAATATCCATGCGCGATTTTATAGGGTTGGTAAAAAACAATGCTTCGCATTACCTCCAACATTGTGTTTTCATTTTGAAAAATTGTGAAAAAGAAAACCGGATTTAGTTGATTAAGTCATTAAAATGTTAACTTCCTTCTCGGGCGGATGGATAAATCCCAAAACCAGCCGAGCCAAACTGTCGATTCACCTTTCCATTAATCAATCAATTAATGGAGCAGTTTTGACCTGCTTTGCGTTATAGATAGAAAACTGTTTTCCCGCGAAAAGAATAGTTTTGCTGAAATATTTAAAAAAATTTGGCTAAACACAGATTTGTAATAATTTAGATTTAAAATAATTTTGTTATTAAAATTACAATTATGTAGGTTACTTAAATAGAATAATAAAAATTTTTAATAATTTTTATTCTAGCAATCAATTTGAAAATTTTACATAATTATTTTGACAGTCCAATGACATTATTTTCTAATTTTCTAATCTGGCCAAATTTGTAGATACTTATGCGCTATTTTTACATACTACTGGAGATTAGTGTTTTAAGACAAATATGCATTGTCAGTAATTGAAATCAGTAAGTGCAAAAGGGAATAAGAGTGTGAAAGCCATATAATCTGCAGACTTACCCTCTTCCGCGTTCAGGTCTGTAAACTTGATGCCGCCACTGAAATGGAAAGAAAGCAGACAGCAGATATGAGACAATTGCACAGACACGTATTATGATACGCGAGCGTTATTAATCGAGTCTAATCGAATGTTTACAACTAGAATACACAGACTTGAATATCTTGCAGCTGCAACTGCAAGCGATCAAAGGAGCTTCCATTATCTTACATTGTCCTTGGACTAAATTGTTTCTGACTGTCTCTCTACCAATATTATTATAATATATTGTAATATTACTTTTCTCGAAATGGAATTGATGTAAAAACTTGTAATAAATTTTCTAGAGATTTTCGCCGAATAATCTTGAAATTTTTGCGTAGCTTTTTGTCGTAGATTTTCTATGAATTTCTTCGCTCATTAAATATTTATTCTTGCATTTGTTTTGTGAATTTTTCTCGGCGGTACAACTGGTATTAAACGGAGGGCGAACGGCTTTATTTCAATCTCCAAAAACTTCTTTTAACCCTGTAATGCGTAGAACATAACGCACACATGGTCCTGGGAAGATGGGATTTCTTCATAAATATTCAGAGAAATTTTCGAATTAATATAAGATTAGTTTACAATGTTCAATTTTAATTTTCCAATTATCTCTTCCAATTATCAATTATCTCTTTCTCCAGTTCTTGAGAATCTTTCATCGTGAGTGTGCATTTCAGGGTTAATTTGAAAGAAAACCGTAATCGTCCGACAGGGATTCTTGTTCTCTTCTCAAAAAACATTTCTCTTTTTCTCTCTTTTTTTCTTTTGTAAATTTGTGATCGTATAATTTCATACCTGAGCAGCACGGTCGCTGTCTCGGGGACACGGAACACCTGAAAAAGAAGACAACCACCACTCTATCGAATCCACAACGAAGGGTAAAAGCACCCCGAAACTAAATCGCGTTTTTACCTCTTTCGAAATTTCTATTTGATCACAAAGTTTAATTCGCGAGAAACATCTTTGATTAAAATAAATAAAAAAATTATTGCTGTTATATTTTCATTATCTTTTTGTTAAGAAAAAAAAATCGTTATTAAGTCGACGTTAAAAAAATTAATATTTCCGCAAAATTCGAGCAGCTAGAAGCCATCTCTCTACGCACAATTACTCAGATTCATTATTCAGCTTACGATAGAGTCTAACTCCAGAAAGAGATGAGCTATGGAAAAAGCTAGATTATATATGTTATCCTTGACTCGAATTATCGTACAGCACGCGACAATCGAACGATTTCTGCAGGTATACCGTAGGCTCTATGCAGAATGGTAATCATCCCCTTCTCGGTTATCAATAACGAATAACCTTATGTACATAAAAGTACTGCTGTACGACGTCTGTCGTATCTAACGCGGAATTGAGCGAGCATTGCTCCAAGAGAAAAGCAAAAGTCAATCAGAAGAAGAACTCGCGGTGAAGTTCTTCATTTCTTTCTCTTTCGCGATAACTTAGCTTCTTTTTGTTTTACGGTTAAGTTGGATGGATTCTCTACCTACCTTCCAGCCCATGTTCTCGAAGAAGGTACACAGTCTGGTCTGCCCGGTAGTTTTGCCACCACATGGTCCTGCAATTGCAAACGTGCATTAAATCAATTGTTTCGAAATTTTTATTCCGTGAGATCGAGAATCGAGATATCCTAGAATCGTTGTACGCACACGAGATTTATCTATTTTGTAATGCTAACTATCCTCGTTCGTTATGTAAAATAAATAACGAGTGTACGAGAAGCACAGATCTGGATAGTATTGGATATGCCTTCTAACTAAAATTAAGATCCGAGTGAGTTGACAGAGCGAGAGCGTAATGTTCTGTCCTTCTGTTTCTATATGACAGAGCGAGAAAGCAATATCTTATATACTTCTTCACCGTGTATTTTCGGAAACTAAAGGATAGAAGATACGACAGGTCTACTGTCTCTTTCCATCTAAAAGAAAAGGCGTATCCAGTACTACAAGATCCATGATGAAAAGGCAGACGCCAATAAAAGTCAAATTGAACGTAATTAGCGCACGCCGGCATGGCTATTAACTCGTCGCGACATTATGCCTCATGCACATTATGCATTGAGATCCATTCGCCAGTGGCGAATTGGGCCCATCACAACCTGATACCAAAATAAATCACGCGATTAGAACTACGACTCGGCATCCCGAAAATTTCAGACTTTTCTTGAATTTTTCCGTAAGCTAATTCTGTAATCTAATTTAATCTAATTTAATCTAATATTCCATTTATGCAATTTTTCAGAATTCCTTAATTCTTTGCATTTTAATAAAAAAATGCATCGAATTTTTCTCTACTAAGCGATAAAAAATAACGGAAGATATTTTAAAAGAGATATCTTTATTCATAAGATTTATTCTTATTTTTTTTTTGTTTATCGTAAAAGTTTTATAAGAGATTTTGTTCAAATTATTAGAGAATATTAGAGTCTAAACAAAATTCGGTGTTTTCAAAAAGACGAAATCTCATTTTCATCTTTTTGGACACATTATATCATCTTTCCGATCGTGAGAAAACAAAAAGTTATAAAGAAACATGTAGTACAGTTTTTTTTAAAAGTTGCTCTGTATATCGTATCATTCAAGTTTTGCATTTCGAAATTATGTTCATTTTACACTTCTCATTACGTCATATTGTGCAAATTGTCAGAAATAATTCTTATTAAAGATTAATCCACCAAAAGATAACGCGTTAACAATAAAATGAACTCGATAAGACTATCTATACGTATGCGCTATCTATGAATAACTTCGAGTAACTTCCGGTTTTTATCTGTCTTCTTAATACAAAACAAATAAGGAATATCGTTTATCAAAACTGAGAAGAAATAGACACAACACGAATGTCTGAGGAACGTCTGAAGCTTGTGAGGCTTAGTATTTTGTAATTTATACATTTAACAATAACGATTACGTAAATGATGAATAATTTTTTTAAGACTCAGATATAATAAAAGGAATAAGGAACAAGTAAACATAGGAAATTAGAAATTATAGCGAATTAAATTTCAAGATATGAAAAATCATGCTTTAATGTATAATCAAGGAACGCTACATAGAGAGAACAATTTTGCAAATTTAAAAATTTGATCAGATCTGAAAATAATTTTGTTAGATTATCAAAATTATTATGTAGCTTAAACATGATAATACTGCAAAAAATATTTGATCCTCTAGAAACCAACTTGAATGTCGTGCATAATAATTTTGAAGATCCAATAAAATTATTTTCAGATCTATGTAATTAAATTTTTAGATTAGCCAGTAGATTGGCCAGTATAAAACTGTTTTTTTTTCTCGTAAAATTGATCGAAACAATTCTTCCTAATTCTCTATATTTACTTCTTTATTTCTTTTTTTTTTCTTAAACTTTTATATTATTACGTATTGATAATATAAATAATGAACAACGCAGATAAT